ATAAAACTGTAATACTTTCGTTTTCTGTGTATTGCACCTTTATATTTCTAATCGGTCTTCCTGCTTGCAAAGACAGCAGTTTTGGGGGGGTTTTCTTGGAGTTGCTGCTGCCTGTTACAGAGGAGACATACATACTGTGCTCTCCCATGGAAATCTTACTTTTGTTCTTTCTTCAGTATTAACACCCCTATGCATTAAAAAATCATGAATTGGGTCCTCCACACTTATAAGACTGTCTTAAAAATCATGAGATTTAAAAAAATACATTTTGGATTCTGGTACTTTTCTTGTTTCTGAATCTTTAGGGTACAGAAAGGTTACATGTTCAAGCTTTTCTCTGCAACCATAAGGGCGAGAAACTTACTTTAAAAACAATGCAACCTGAGAGTCTCAAGTATTCACATGACTCCAAGAGTGGCCTTTAAAAAAAAATTAAATATTGCAAATCTCTCAATAAAATTGCTAGAGTTGACAATAGTTGACCTATCAAGTCATTTTAGGAAGAAAATATATGGTTGCTTTCTGTGTATGGAAATACCATTCACAAAACCTTGGATCCAAACATTCTGAAATTTTGGGAAAGTTAAGATCTGGATCTAAACTTTGCAGTTTGGCCCCATCCTCTACTCTTCTGTTATGTCATCTTATGAGAGACATAAGCAAAAATGCTGACCAATACAATTCAGTATTTATACTACAAATCAGATTCCATCAGTGGTAAGTGAAACTCTGAATTTGCGAGATTATGTTCATTTGGGATTCTAACCACCAAGGTATTTAAACAACACTTTCCAAAGCCTTCACGCTTCTTGGGCCTGCAAAATTGTATCAGAAAACTCACAGGAGATTTCCAGTGCTCTCTTGGTTCCAATCCAGGCAGAAATGTCTCAATAATCGCTTTACTCACACTGTTCCAGCACTTCCACTCCCAGCTAGAAGCAGGAATTGCAGAGGATTACCAACATGGACAAATAATGTAATCAAACTTTTCTGAATCTCCAGACAGTCTTAACTAGTGTTGATTGGAGATTTTGGTAAAACATGATTGCTTTCTCTTTTATCAGAACTGGTTCACCTAGCACTAGCTTGTGCCTTTATTCTGCAAGAAGTACCCCCGATGACATAAACTTATAGTAAATATTTTCTTCCCCAGGGTAGAATTCTATGCAGTTTTCCACTGCTATAGTATTCCATAAGGAGCAAAGCAAACCTACTCTAGAGCCAAACAAGTGCTATCCACTTCCCAAGAGCTGCAAGTTACAACATTTAGCAAAATAAAGTCCTCTGTATAGACGAGGGATCATTAATTTTGAGATACTAGTGAGGAAGTAATGCTTTATTCATGATCAAGAAATAGGGTGGAGCTCCCCTGAGAAATCATCAGGCACAAATGGCAAAGGATATTTGCAAGTGGCTGATGTTGCACTCATCAAGCCTGCTAACTACAGACTAAAAACTAAGATCCTCTCTCTGAGCTAGAACCTCAACTGGCATACATCAGCATAACTCAGACCTGGATGCATTTATGTGATTTACACCAACTAAGAGTCTGGACCTCTAATTTTTAGTTTGGGGCTTTAGTCCTTACTCAGAAAAACTCCCATAGCTTTCAGATATGCCTAATTCTTTCTATTTAGGAGGTTGCCATTAAAATGCCAATATTTTATATCTGTTACTGTATAGAGCTATTTGACATATCTCTTTTCCTCTGTACTTAGGCTACGAAACAGCTGTGATATCTCGGATATCACTCGCATGTCATGTACCTCAGACTCCTGCTGGCCAACTGCAGAAACATAGAGTTAGAACTCAGGAAAAGGAATGGCTCTGAAGATGAGGCCAAAGTAAAAGGACCACCATTCAGATTATCCGTTTGCTGTCACTCTTCCTTCTAATGCAACACAGCATCACAATCGCCTCACATTAGCCACTTTCACATCAAATTAGCCACCCTCTGTCTGCATAAGTTACTTTAGTTTATTGCCAAAGACACGGAACGAGAGACAGCATCCTAATACAATAAAGCTCAGCTTCGCTCTGGCAGAAAAATTGGATTCCTCACTTGTGACTTTCCCATCTTATTAGCCTCCCTCCAAAGGGCTGAGCTAAAATGAATCCCGCAACTATGATCAAAACTGAATATCGATTTTGTGTCTGGTAGAAAACAAGCTTGTTTGACAGTCACTTCACTGGTGGGAATAGAGACTCTGAAGCTTATAGTGCCTTTCAGAGCAATTACATATAACTTTGGTGACACTACTTGTGAAAGGAAACACTGCCTGATAGTGCAGGGTTTGCCCTAGGATTAGGCTGTTGGGCTGCTTTGTTCTGGAAGCCATTTTGTTCTCATATGAATTATGGTTGTTTGAAGATAAAGACCAGCATTGATCTCACATGTTCAAGGCTCTTTTAGAGAAGCTGGGCATAGTTTCAAATAGTAAAAGTGCACAGTTTGATGAAATAGGAATCTACTAACTGATTTGAAGAGCTATCAACACTCAACAAGCACTCAACAAGAGGGGTCAATATTTATTTGTGCTCAAATTGATTAAACATTATTAAAAGTTTGCTAATTTGACTTTCTGAGCAAAACCTTTGATAGATACCTAGCGAATATTTGACCTTGAAGAGCAGACTGTGTTGACTTGAGGCAGGAGTTTCGAATCAATAGCAATGGTTTTTTAAAAGCAGTAAATTGGTGTTAGGTTTTCTGGCCAACAGGGAGAAGAATATAATAAAACAACTGCAACTCAGCAGCTAGCCATAGAGAATGGGTACAGTGATGTAGCCATCTCTGGAGATGCAGGGACAAAGTGATCATGCGCGTAGCACATACCACTCCATGGATCTGAACACATTGCGCCAGTGGTGGACTGGGCCCTAGGATTCAACATTGACTTGGGCCATATGTACATGAGAAAGTTGCACCAGTTTGATTTAAATACATTTTTAATTCAATTTAGTGACCAGTGGAAATGCCTGTGTGGACACTCTTATTGAAGTTTAATAGTGGCTTATTTCTTATTTCAATTGAGCTTAAACCAGTTTCTAATCAATTTGCACTAAGCCAAAATAGGCCTGGTTTAAACTGACATAAATGTGTCCACATGGGGCTTACACCAGTTAAACAAAATACTTTTAGAGGAACAAAAGTTTCTGAAGACTAAAAAGCTGTGTTTTAACTTGGTTTAAAATACAGGTGCTGTAGGCTGCTTCTGCCCTAGAAGAAAATATCTGTCATGACTTAGATTTAAACAAAGTTTCTTGAACTCTAAATTTGAAACAGCACATTTAAAGGAAGGTGGGTGGATGGGTGTGGAGGTGGGAAAGCGAAAAGACAAAGGGAAGAGAGCAGGGGAGAGCTCTTGGGAATCTGTGCACGGAAAGCTCTCAAAGATTTTTGAAGTTGAGGAGTTATATTATGTTAATATAAGTTCTAATTGCTAGGCAATAAACAACACCCACATGCTGAATAAATGTCAGGACCAAATTTATTTCTAAATCTGCTTTGAAACAATGTCAGTCATTGCTATTATCACAAACAGATGGAACCTTTTTTGCTAACATTAAAATAAAATAATAATAAAAAATAACCTCAGGTTATTAGTTACCTGAGGTAATAGACCTGGGAGTGGGAGGACAAAGATGTAGTTAGTTGTTACTGTTTGTGAGTCAACTATTAATAAAAAGCTAGCATTGCATTGTTGAAACAGATATACCTGTTGTATATTAATGCTGATTATGGGTGAGGTCAGGAAAATGTTGGAATGGCTGGCAATAACATGGCAAAGTAAACCTATTCAAAACACCATGCAAGGGGTTTTTCATGCAAAGTGCCCATGCACCCGTTATGTGGGCAATACCCTGCATTTCTGCATGCAGGCAAAGTGGACATTTACAAATGTCTGCTTGTATGGAGAAGGGGGGTTATGACCCTGCACTGGGTGTGGGAATGTTTTGTGTAACTCACTCATTGTGAAAAACTTTGAAAATTTTGGTCCATGAAATATATATTGCTATTTAAGCTATCAGACAGTGTTGGCACCCGAACAAATGAGCATAAACTAGCCATGAACAAATTCAGGTTGGAAATTAGAAGGTGTCTAATCATTTGGGGGGTGAGGTTCTGGAACAGCCTCCCAATAGGAGTTGTGGGGGCAAACAGCCGAACTACTTTTTAAGGGAGAGCTGCACAAATGTATGAGTGGGATTATATGATAAGGTTGCTTGTGATGGTGGGGGCAGGGATCAATCAGATGTTGCTATAATCTCATCATTCAGGGCTTCAGCTAGTCACCAGCAGGAGTCAGGAAGGATTTTTTCCCCAATGTATTCTGGTTGGTTTTTTTTTGTCTCCTTCCTTCAAAACATCACAGGAGAGCCAGGGCTCTGAGATATCACCATGCATTCTCTCTCACTCCAGCTTGACTGGCTGGTTCTTGCTCACATGCTCAGGGTCCAACTGATCATCAAATGTGGGGTGGGGAAGGAATTTTCCCCCAGGTCACATTGGCAGTGACCTTGGGGTGGTTTTCGCCTTCCTTTGCAGCATGGGGTGCAAGTCATTTGCCAGGATCATCTGGGTATATCTCACTTAACCTTTCTCTGCCATTGCAGGGACCCAGGGCATTGGTGCACCTTCTATTCTGTGCCTGTGGCACAGAATAGTCTAGTCTCCTCTGGGCTGTAACACTCTGATCTCATTCTGATTGTTTAGTGTGCAGGTACTGGATGGTGTTGGTGGCCTCTGATCTACAGGAAGTCAGCATGGATGCCCTGGTGGTCCCTTCTGCCTTAAACTCTATGACATATATGTCAAGGAAAAGCAAGTGCCAGTGTTAACATTGGAAATAAGTAGCTATTCCAGTTTAGTTTTTTATATGAGGCTGAAAAAATTTTAAGCAGTTAAAACAGACCTGACTTGCAACAAGTTCCCCCAAACCATCATGCTAGACAGAACAGCTGTTGAGAGCACATGGATTAGGACATACTTAGCTTACCTGATATCACACTCTTTGTTTTACAGACTTCTGCTCTGCAATTAAATAACAAACACTGTGTTAGAAGATGACAAATGCTGCCTTAGAGATTACAATTTGGTCATTAATGAGCCACTGACACCTTATGGAAAACTTTGGAAACTGGAAAAAGCTTTGGAAATAATGTTGCTTGTGTTTAACTTCTTTTCTGTATTTTTATTTCACTTGCTCTTCGTTTCTAGAGTCCCGATGAAAACATGATCTTTGCTTCTTTAAGGTTAGATTTTACTGTTAGACAGCCCTGAGCAAGGGGCACTTCAGAAACTGCACTGTCCCAGAAGTAGTCCCAAAAGGCATTATACATCAGGGACACCTCTCTGACACGTCTCCTCCTGCGTTCCCTAACATGGTTCAGGGCAACTGCACCTGTATTCCCCCTCTCAGGTCCAGGAATGACACCCAGTCTAGGCTTCTAGATCCTTAGCCATTACCTCTCTTGAGTGAAGCCCCACGTCACTCTCCCTCCTGAATGGGGTTTTCCCAGGCTACACAGTTCCCACCTACACTGTCATTTCCCTAGCATGCCAGACTGCCTGAACAGGCCTGGGTCTGTGCTTTGCTTTCTCCTCAGAGGCTATGCACAGTTGTAATTGCCCACAGTTATAAGTTACCACACAGCTCTTTATAATCAAGCACATTTATTCTTAAGGTGAAAGCATTACAGAGAAAACATATAAAATCAATAGAAGTTCCAACACACATGCTAAAACCTTACTAGAGGTTACCCATCAGTCTGATGGGGCCTCAGAAGGCCAAAGTCTGTCCAACTCTTCCCAGGAAGGATTTGGACCGCCTCCCCCGTCCCCAGGAGAGCAGGTCCTATCCATTTGCTGAATCAGAAAGAAGGCCCTGAGTCACTTTAACCTTAGGCTATTTAACCAAAAGTCCTTTCTTTGGCTGGTGGTGTCTTGAGAGTCCAGTTTGAACCAATATAGGGGAGCCACCCCAGGTGGGGATACTTCTCTGGAGGTGTTACAACCTGAGTGAATTTTCCTAATCACTCCCCACTGTTCTTAATTCCTGGAGGAGCTGTGGTCACTCTCCCCCTTGGAACTACATACAATCCCTGGCCCACAATGATAAATAAACTTAATATCTTTGGGAGGTCTTACTGTATTACAAGAAATTGCCATAACCCCTCTGAGGCACATTTCCTCCTGTGTGTCCTTTGTGTGTGGTGGATAGGGAGAATATTCTGTTACAGCCCTTTACTGAGCACAACATGTGCCTCGCCATGCTCCCAATCAGTTTTGCGTGCAGCTCCCTGTCTGCTGCATCCCTGTAGAGGGTAATGGGTTAGATTCAGTCAGGGATCTCACCTGGTGCAAACCCAGGCATACGGTATGATGCTGACAGGCCAGATGTCAGCTCTTGCTCAGGCTACAGGCATAAGAACTAATAAACTCATAGCTGGAGAGCAGACCAGTTCATGTGTATGTTAGTTTTGCTCAAAATAGGTATTCATCTTATAAGAATGTATTTAGTGTTTAGAACCTATGAAATGCTTGTAAATTGCTGCATACATTAATCTCACTAGTATGTCCATGCTGTAAGAAAATATGAACATTTTGCCTTATAACTCTGAAAATGTTTGCTTTGAACTTGGCACAGGAATTGTCCTCTTGCCTATCCATGGGGGATATTAAAATCAGATGGGCCATCAATGAACATAGCAATGCTAGGGATTGGTTAATGGCCTTACTGCACCTCGGAAATGCTATTACAAGGAAGCTTGTCCTGTGGACTTGGAAGCTGAATGAAGGAAATAAAAGAAAATCACAGGGAAATTTTCCATCTTTTTGGCTGTTTGAACTCTGACATGGCCAGAGACTCTGAACTGATGCCAGAGGTCCCTAGGGGCTGCCTCCTGGGTCCACCCTGCAAGAAACTTTGATTGACAGATCACTACAACGCTGTCACTCTTAGGATTTAGATGTGTAACTCATTTGTTACACATATATGTCTGATTGAAATAACCAGTAAATAACTCTCATATTTTTTTCCTAGTTATTAAACCTTTAGATAGTTTCTAACAGGATAGGCTACTGGGTTTATCTTTGGTGTAAGATCTAGCGTACCAATTGATCTGGGGTAAGTGACTGGTCTCTTGGGACTGGAAGCAACCAGAATGTGGTGTGATTTTTAGTGTTAGTGACCATTTATCACTAAGTCCAGTTTGACTGAGTGGCAAGATAGACTGGAGAGTCTAAGGCAGTGGTGGGCAACCTGAAGCACGCGGGCCACAAGTGACCAGAGTAATCGGCTGCCAGCACGTCCCTGTGGCCCGTGCCGCTTACTTCAGCTCCCATTGGCCAGGAACGGCAAACTCTGGCCACTGGGAGCTGTGGGCGGCCATGCAAATGTAAACAAACCATTTGGCGGCCCACCAGCGGATTACCCTGATGGGCTGCAGGTTGCCCACCACTGATCTAAGGGGACTGTCTGTGACTCCATGGTAAGACTGTTAATACAGCGATCCATGAGTTCACATTTGTTACTAGCTTGGTGAAATCTAACTTTAGAACATACCACCAGCCTGGGGTGTCTCACGGACATAAGCCACTCCAGACTGTGTGATATAGGGTTACTGTGCTGGATTGTCTGGAAGGGGAGGATGCAGTGGAGGATGCGGAGGTTAAGGGAGCACAGAGAGCCAGGAAGACCGGGGCAGCCGAGGAATGCCTGATTCAAGCCATCCCTCCAAGCAGCTTCTGACACTGCGGCTTCTAGGAAGGCTGGCCCACAAAAATAAAGATTCTCCCCTTCCCCTCACCTCTTGTCTCCACAACCTCCCAAGGAATTGGTTCAATGGGAGCACTGCCTGCTCTCTATCAGGGTGAATTCTCCCTGGGGATCAGGAGGCCCTGAAAGTCCAGGGAAGTGATTCACATGGACAATAAGCCGTCAGAACTAATGAGGTGTTAAGAACATAAGTGGGCTCCAGCCACCAAATTCAGATCTGTTTCTGGATTTGAAACACTCCGACGTTTAGGAGGCAAAGCATCTGGAGTTTTGGTTCAGTCCATTATAATCTGGAACACTTGATCCCCTTGCGGGTTTAGGGGTTTGAACATCACCTGGCATTCAGATTCAGGACTTTGATTGGAATTAAGCTCTAAAATGATACTAATAATAAAAATCCCATTTCCATGCAAATGTCCTCACACTGCTTAAAATGAGAGAGTACACGGACAACATAACTAGCAGTGCATTGTTCTCAAATGCATCCACGGTTCTTTAAACACGAAGTTCCTAGCTCTTGTTGACCCTCAGAACACCCTTCCTTTAGTAGAGATGAATAGTTATGTACTTAAAGTACTCTATTAGCATGCAGTGGCACATAGCACGTAAATATATGGCCAGTCATTCTCAGGAAATTGCAGCTTTATTGGTCTGAGAATATGAACGTGCGCACTGTGCAGCTGAGTCATATCTGTCCATTGAACAAATGTATTTATAAAATATGATATAACAGATAAAGTTAGGGGCTAAGAAATGTTCAGGAAAAAGAAGGGTGGCCCAGTGGTTTGGGTATTACCCTGGGACTGGGGGACTCTGCGTTTGATTCCCTGCTCTGCTACAGCCTTCCTGTGTGACCTTGGACAAGTCCCTTAAGGTGGGATCCAGGAAGGGACGTAGGTGTTGCAACATAGTGTGCCACAGAACTTAGAAAAGCACAGGAAGAACGTTCTGATCCGCAAAGCTGAGTTAGGTGCCTGGGCTCCCTCTTCAGTGAGATGGGCACCACAAAAGACAACATGCGAGGTGGGGAGATTGCAATGAGAGGGGTGAGTGCTAAGCTCTGTCCCTCTCTGAGATAGGAACCTAAATCTGGGTTGCAGGGAGGCATATAGCTCTGCTTAGCAATCCTCAAACAGTAACCAGCCAGCTGGAGTTAGGTGCCTTAAATGTTTCTTGTGGGAATGAGCTAGGCACACTGACTTGCCCCACACAAACAGCTGGAGGAGATAGTGCCACCACCTACCTTATAACTTTTAGCCCAGTGATTAGAGTATTCACTTGGGCTGTGGGAGACCCAGGTTTGATTCCCTCCTCTCTGCTAGAGGGTGGGGGGAAAGGATTCAAACAGGGATCTCTCAGGAGAGTGCTCTAACCACTGACCTATGGGATATTCTGATGTGGGGTTCCCTCAGCGGGTCTCTCCTATGGAAGTTGTTCCACTGTGGATAAATAATGAAAGAGTGATTGAGCCAGTAACAATGAGAATGACTCTGTAGTCCAGTGGTTGGGGCACCCATCTGGAAGGTGGGAGACCCTGGGTCCAGTCCTCCTGCTCTAATCACTCTTTCATTATTTCTCTACGGTGGAATAGCTGCAGCAGGAGAAACTGAAGAAGCTCCATGTCAGCATATCCCATAGCTAAGTGGTTACAGCCTGCTCCTGAAAGGTGGAAGAGCCCTGTTTGAATCCTTTCTCCCACTCTTATGGAGCAGGAGTTGGAAATTGAACCTGGGTCTTCCACATTCCTGGTGAGCGCTCTAACCACTGGGCAAAGAGTTATAAGGTGGACGCTGCCACCTCTTTCAATGGCCAAATTTTGACTGGACCCCTCCGAGCACCCTCCATATCAGGCCCTGTACATGACTTTGGCATTCAGCTGCCTATCCTTCCTGATTTGTGAATCGCTCTGGAGCGTAGGCAGGAGGATGCCTAGAGGAAGGAAGTAGTGCGCATGCCCAGAGGCAGGAACACAGGCATCTAGGGAACTTTTATCCTGCTAACTTTGGCGCCAAGAGAGTTTAGGTGCTTACTGGGCTTGACAGGAGTTTTGTGGATCACAAGTGGAACCAAAACTGGGACTTAAGCACCAATTTCTGAGATTTAGGCTCCTACATTCCTTTGTGAATCTGAGCCTTAGTCTCTCTGTGCCTCAGTTCCTCATCTGTAAAATGGGGACTTTCCTACCTTGCAAAGCTGTTGTGAATAAATGCATTAAAGATTATGAGGTGCTCAGATACTATGGTAATGTAATGAG